GATGAGTCTGACATGAGGATGACAGGGAGGCACCAAGCTAAGGAAGTTTGTGGTGCAGTGGAGTGTTGATTCTGTGTGGGTGTCTGGATAGATAGCTAGAAGTAAATTATTTTACAACTGGCTGTAAAGAGTTGGGGCAGATCAGTAGGCATAAGCTCTAGAAGTATAGGTGATTTCATGGATTTTTGAATTAAATGAAGAAAAACCAAACCCAAACCTCTGCTTGGTTAAGGGTATGACAAATATGCCTACCTACTCACTTCATATAGCATCGACCAGAAAACTGAAGGAAGGAAGGATGCACAAAATGGTCCAGTCTTTCCCAGCTACAACATGAGCACTGGGTTTGAGGGAGGCTGATCTTTTGCCTTGAACCTGTAACTTTATTTATACAAGAACCCTCAGGTTCACCTTGTAAATTGCAGGGATAAGGGTGATGGTTTCACATGAGACCACAGCAATAAAATTTGGCATTTCTTTATTTCTGCCTCCCACGTCTGGACTCAGCCCAGTAAAACCCTGACTAGAGACTCGTAGCTTAGGCTGTGAGTACTATATGTGTGAATTTTAACAAATTATTTGTTATGCCAGAACTTATTGAGGAGCAGCAGTCTCTTCTTGGAAAAGAGCTGATTTTTTTGTTGAAATGAGTCAGATGCTCTAAGTGAAAGAACTCCACTTGGCAACATACTAAAATTAGGCCACTGTCTGTTACTATCAGTAACAGGATAAGTGCCACAATTGATCTAGGGTAAAGTTTGACTGATTTTAGGATGCACAGGGTCAAAGCTGAGCCAGTGCTCTGACACTGCAAGTACAGCATGGATGGGAACCCTGGACTGCTACAGAATGTGACAACCTCCACTCTTCCCTCTTGGCACCACCAGCTAGCAGGGTTACTGGGGAACAGATCTGACTGAAAATGAAGTTTCTCTTGGCTCCCCATCCATCACAGCACTGGCCCACAGCAGGTCATTTTCACTCTTGGTCAGGCAGCTGTTTTTAAAATAACTGAGCTGTGATATTTACTCTCCAGACTACTGGAGTTGTTCCTAGTGATTGCTTTTACCTCCAAGGTGCAGAACTACTGTAAGCAGTTGTTTGAGGCTCTATTTAAAGTCCTCTACAGTTAGTGATTAAGCAGTAAAAAAAATCCTTTGGGATACATAATTACTATGCATAACTAAGGTGGAATTTAGTCAGATCAGCACTAAACAAAACGGTATATTTTTTAAAATTTGAAGGTATTGTGTTTGGATGGTCCTTCATTTGTTAGGAAATCTTAATATAATGTGTTCATAAGACTGACTTATTTGCTCTTGCAACACAGAAATAATTTATAAGAAGGCAATCCTAAAGTAGGATATAGTGTCGGTGCCTCTTGCTCTGTAACTTTTCACTTATTCATAGAGATTGTATTTTGAATATCAGCCTGCTTGGTTGGTGACCTAACGTGGAGAAGAATGAAGTGTTCTTGGCTTGAAGTAATGTCTATGATGTCTCTCCTAAGCTTGATTGTACAGGGCATTACACCAGGGTAATACCTCTAGAATAACTTGGAAGACTAAATTTAATTATGGTGTGATTCTCATGTTGAAACGAGTGTAGTTATAAATGGATAAAAAAATCCCTCTCTTTTCTGATATTCTACATAACTTACTGTGCTTGTTCTTGGACAACTACTGTTTTCTGTGACTTAATATTGAAATAGTGTGTAAGTAGCGAGGGATGGAGGTGACTTTTGCCCTTTTATTCAATAGGGACATGTTATGCTGGATTTCCCTGTCTCATCTGAGGGACACACTCCCCTTTCCAAAGCAGGACGTTTATAAAATACTTGTCTTTCCTTGACTTCAGTTAAAACTTTAATTCACTGATGGCTCTGCTGTAACCTGCTTTCCCCCTCTCCCTCTCTCCCTGACTGGGACTGGAGCCATGGCCTGGAGGAGCAGTTTGAGCTGACATGGCTGTTCCCTGCTGGCTGTGCTAGGTAGGGTGCTGCCCCTGACCTTGCTGACCAATATCAGACCACTGCAGAAGGAGGGGAGATGTGCTGTTCTCTACAGTGTGCAAGAAAACACCCACATGTGGATTTAATGCTGCGTACATCAGCTGGCTAAATCAGATGGGGCTTTAACTACTGTAGTGCTGCTGCTTGTGGCTGCCTGACAAAAAATGCATGGTGTTCATGTATTCCCTAAGAAACTACAGCAACAGATGGTGGACCTTCAAAGGGAGAACACCTATGGCACTGCACTTAGGAGCTCTCAAAAGCCATTTGTTTCCAGAGGAGAGAAGATAATTAAGTGTGGCCCGTTAACACAGTGATATGCCATCTGTCTTTTGCCACAAAATCGGAGATTCTAAGGTTTTTTGGTTTTGTTTTTCTTTTTTTTTCTTTTAATTAAAGCTGATTTTCATAGTTACTGGGATGATTTTAATAATGTTAAAAAGGAAAGTGAAACAATGCTCCCTTAAATCCATACATGACTTCACTTCATATGGAATGGAAAACAGGAAGACTGATGGCAGGTTAACTGCAAAGTATTTTCTCATAAATACCAAGCTAGGATGCTTGTTGTGGTAATATAAGTCTTCTCTGCCTCTAATGGAGAAATTGTCAGAACTAAAGGAAGTCACATGATGAGCCTCTACAGGAAGTTTTCCTTAACATTGAGAAACTTTGCAATTGGTTTCTTTCTCTGCTCCATTTATGCACCACCCTAACATCCCTACTAGTCCGTGTACTTTTTTCTTTCCCTCCAGAAGTGCTGTTTCACACATTGAAAATAGCTCCATAACCTTCTTTCTTAACTCCTGTGATGTTCAGGGGCTGTTTTTGTACAAGCCCCTCACCTGGTCCTACTAGAATACTTCAAAGGTGTGGGCATAGAAAAGATGTGCTTTACAGTGGGAGTAGGAGCAGCTGGAGTTGTCACTGCCTTTTGGACTGCTTGGACTAGGGCTGCCTGTGATGATAGGAATATCAGGAATTAGACCTGCTGTTGCAAAACCTGTGGAAAACCTGTTCTTCCAGTTGTGCTGGTGCTGTGTGTTGTTAAGATTCCCTTTATTGATGGGGTATGGCAAGGGCTACTGCTTTTCCCACTGCAGGACACTGCTGGCCAGCCTCACACTCCAGTAGAAATAATGCATGAATTAAGTATCAGATCCTTGTACTGCATTTCAAAGAAATTTGATCCAGCAGCTGTGCCAGCTCCCTCTGCATGTGGTGGGTTTGCCAGTGCTTTTTGCTAAAACATAGAGCATGTCACAGGAATTATTTTCCCCAATTCCCTCTGCTCCCCCCTAACTTACAGAACTAGGAAATGAGAGAATCCACAGCATTTCTCAACACACAGACCAGGAAATGGACTTACGGCCAACTCTCTGACTTCTGCCTTGTAAACCTCCTTAACTCTGCCTTTTTAAGGGAACTAACAGAAAACTTGGCACTTCTGGTACATTTCACATATGCTACTTCAGAAACATACAGCTGATATTAAAGGAAGAAGTGATACAAGAATTTAAAGTAAATTCATTAAACTGAGTCTACAGATTTTAATCCTCCAGCATAAGTGAAGAGGAAAAATGCTCTCTAAGACTCTTAAGCTTGAAATTATCAGGCTTAGATTTGCTAAGATATATTTTCTTTTAAAACTTCTTACAGTGCTAATCTGGAATTTAGTGGCTCCAGAAACTCCACTCCATTACTTTTACTGAAAGAGCACATGTGCATCTTTTAGTTTCTGTTTTGTAAAACTGTATAAACTTGAACTGCATTCTCATAGCAGACGGAGAACAAAAGCCCATTAAATCATTATGCAGAAAGCCCAATACTTTAGTAGAGGATTTTTTACCACATTCTTAATACTTTAGTGTACATCAGACTTTGCAAGTCCTGTAGGAATTAATTTATAGAGCAATACATTGGGTGATGCAGATACATATTCCTCAACATACGGATCTGGATACCCTCTGCTTATGTAGACCAAGTGCTTCTTAGGACTTAGAGCAAATCTTATGGATAAGTTTACCTTTTCAAAGAGGAATCTAGTGCATGTATAAGTACATTTAATATGCTATTTATTAGAGCTAACTGTGTAAAAAAACCAGAATAGTACAGACAGTTTTATACCACTGGTGCTGCTGGGAACCCCAGGCTGTGCAGCACTGAATGAATTTCTGATCCACACATAGCCCACTGTGCAGGCCTTGTCTGGAGCCAAGGCTACCCCATTTTGATAACTTAAAGTATTGTAGGATTTTTCATCCAGGACAACAACTCTGTTCATCATTCCTTTCTGACCTCCAGAGAAGGAGGATGATCACTGATGGCTGTAAGCAAGGCCAGGCAGGTGTTGTGATCAGTGGCATCCTGTGCCTCACAGGACTGGGCTCACTCAGGTTATCTGTTATGTGCTATGTTAGGTTATGAAGTTATCTGTTATGTGGATAAATAATGCTCTGATGTACAGTAGCCTTCTGGTTAGGATTACCACAATGCCTCCAGAACTGGAACCATGGCCAAAGATTATCCCCTCCCTTTTTTGTCCCTCAGAATGTTTTGTGAGCAAGATCAGAATGCTTGCTGGGTTTTGTTTTGTTTTGTTTTGTTTTGTTTTGTTTTTTTTTTGTGTGGTTTTTTTTTTTTTTTTTTTTTTTTTTTTTTTTTTTTTTTTTGTTTTTTTTTTTTTTGGTTTTTTTTTTTTTTGTTTTGTTTTGTTTTGTTTTGTTTTGTGTTTTTTTTTTTTCTCCTTGTAATCCCTGAGGTAGAAATAGCTTGAGTATCTTTTAGTTTTGAAGTGTGGTATATAGGGAAAAGCTTTGCTGTTCAAAGATCTTGACACACTGTCTGTATGATAGATGCTAATTAGTTTTCTTGGTGTAATTAAAATGTGGAGAGTCACATATAACAAAGAATCTGAGTAATAAAATCTTCATCTTTATAGATGAGACTGATGCCACTGTTCTGCTCACTTTATTTATTTTCCTTGCAGAATCAAGGCCATTGAAAGTCCCAACAAAGATGATGACACGCAGTGGCTGACTTACTGGGTTGTGTATGGCATTTTCAGCATAGCTGAATTCTTCTCTGACATCTTTCTGTCATGGTTCCCTTTCTACTACATGCTAAAGGTATGTTAATTCATGTGACCCCTCTCCTAAAATGGGACCTTTCGATAAAACTGATCTAATGTCTCCAGGAATGGATAGATGACAACACATTAATTTGGAATCATTCCCAGGTCACACCTTTTTACATGCAGGTTATGTGAAATTTATTACTGTGAAAGTGATCTGTTTACAGCTGATGGTTTTGTGAGGCAAGAGGGGAAGTTGGGATAGATGGAAGAGAAAGGTCTGCTGGGTTTTAGGATAGAAGAAAAGACAGTGGAACTGTCCCATAAATAAAGAAAGAAAAAAAAAAAAACCCAAATCAAAGACAGTTCTTTCTCTTGGTGCTCAGGTAAATTTGAACAAATGACGTACTAAGCCCCAAAGAGTGGCTCTATTTTTGCTTTAAGCGGACTAGTAAAAGCGGAGAGTAAAATCTTGAAGGCTGTTGAAGGAGGTCATAACTTCTGTGCTATTGGAGCAAAGATGGAAATTGGAACACAAGAATAGTTTGTCCTACAGTTTTAATTTTTAATTAAGCTCAGTTTCCTGAAAGGAACTGGTAGGTATCAGAGGAGATGGTTGCTAATGTGCGTTTGTTACTGTGATTTGACTACCAGCAATGATTTGGTTAATATGTTCCAAGCTTTGTTTGTGATCTAAGGTGTCAGTCAACTTTAGCATGTTAAATTCTTCTAGGAGATGGCTGATCACTCTGTGTGCTGTTGGGTAAAAGACATTTTAGCTTGCTGCAGAGCCTGCTCTTTATTTCAAAGAACTGTTAGCAGTTTTCTGGTTCAGTGGGCTGTTCTCTTCCTTCTCTTTTGTTTTGTTAGCCTGATTTAGTCCCACTGAAGTTGTTAAAACTATTTACTTGCCAGCTATTGTGGTGGGGTCATTTAATATTTTAGTGATAAGACCTGATGATGTCAAAAGCTGTTTCCAGGAAATGCCATACTTTATAGACAAAAATTGACTATGACAGCTGGTTTACATGTCTGCCTTGTTCCTTTTCAGTATTTAACAAGCCTCAACTGTGGCAATCATTTGGACACCTACTTCAGTAGAGTTATGACTTTAATCATCTGCAGTGGTATATGCTCACAATTCTGAATTCATACAGTGTATTTTCAGAGCTTCTTTTCTAAATTCTTTGTGGAAAAAGATGTGGCAATGGCTTCTTCATGCCACCACAGCTCTTTCTGAAGAGCACACGACTGAAATATAGGTTGACTTTCCAGACAAAGACCACAAATGGCTCTGATGAAATGGTATCAGGAGTGCCATAGTTACATGTAGTATTGTAATCAAAGGGAAAGGCACTTTTCTCAGTTCTGCAACAGAAGCACAAGGAATTATGACAATACACAGCTCTCTATGATAGCTGCAGAAGGCACAGAGAAGCCAAGTGTTTGCTCTTAGTGGTGGTTGTTAGGTTTCTACAAAGGCAGGCAGGTGTTGGCTGAGAATCAGGAAGTGTTGCTGAATGGGTGGGAAGGTGGAGATTACTCCGCAGGAGGAGAAGGAGGAATCAGGCAGCTTCCACGCTACATTCCGTCCATGAACTAAAACCTCTTGGAGGGTACTTATGATGTCTCCATATTTCTTTCATGAAGTAGAAGCCCAGATACGTAATTCATGAAAATTTTGAGCTTGCTTTGAGTCTCAAGATGTGCTAAATTTGTGTGTTCACATCTATTTGATGCAGCTTGTAGCTTCCACTCCAGACTGAGATTTAGTTGCTCAGTATTTCAAAACACCTTTATGTACATGGCTGAAACACTGAGCACTGCTGCTTCCAGACTTTCCTGAAGTCCAGAGTTTAGACTCTGTGACATTAAAGTTTTCAGCAGACTAGAAAGTTTTATGGGTGGGAGAAAGGAATGTTTAAGAACTTTAAATATGTTATGATGTTTGTATACACTTTTGTTCTCCACATGACATTTCTTGGAATTTATGGGCTTCTTCTTTATCTGTTTAGGGTTTATTTAATCTCTGAATCACAGGACATGCCTGCAACTCATAATTTCTTGTGCATATGATTTGGTTTTAAATAATTCTGTTCAGACTTTAAAGATTTCTGTGGCATTCAGGTATTAGAGTACAGTAGCCAGTAAAAGCAGCAGAGTTTATCATCCTATGAGTATTCCTGGTGGTGGGAGCAAGAGGGACTTCTTACTCCACTAATGGCTCTGCCTTGAAATACTGTAATGCTATTTCTGAACAAAATTGGTGCTACCAGGGCAAAACCAGCTGCTAGGAGCAGGTCCAAGTGAGCCTGACTGAGCTCAGGTGAATTCCATTCCCTCTGTCTGGTCTGGAGAGTTGCAAAGAATATATTTTGGGTTTGTTTCTTTTTTTTTTTTTTTTCCAGTTAACAATTTTATCACTCTGAGCTTGCTGGAACCTCTACAACCCTCTTTATTTTCAATAGCCTATGTTAGTTCAGTTTCATGAGAGATAGGGGTAAAATAAACTAAGTTAGCAGTCTAACATTTTCAAGCTTTGAAACGAGTGAGAATCTCAACTTTGGTACATGTGCAATAGAAAATGCGTATAAACATCTATTGCAGTACAATTCAAAAGTAATAGGTTATTTGAGAACAAATCTATAATTACCTTTTTCTCAACTGGAGTGGGACAAAGCTGTCAAATCAAAATTACTAGTTTTGTTCTTAGGCAGGGAAAGGGAAATTTCAATTTCTTTTGGTTTTAGAGGAAGTTGGACTCACATTTGAGGGATTCTTCTAAAACAAAGGAGAACTAACATTTTTTTGTGTAGAAGTTGAGATACTTGTACAGTTTTGTGGGAGAAGTAACTTTCAATATTTGATCAGATATTCTTGGATAGGAAATAAAGTCAGTGTACTTCTCACCTTTTAATGAAAGATAACAACATAAGATAGCACCATGTAGTCTTTCTGTTATATTAAGTCCAAAGAATTGAAGCTTTTGAAAATCAGTATTTATATTGGTAAAGGCACTTTTTGCCTTTATTTTCTCTGACCATACTTAATAATTCATCAGTTGCTACTTACTGGTGCCAGATTTTATTGCATGTTGAATTATTAGTTTTAGTTCATTGGAATTTTCCTGATGGCCAATCTCTCTGGTGAACACTTTACTTTAAAAAAACCTTTCTTTCTCTTCTGAGCAAACACTCCTTTCAGTCATTTTGTTTTGACACCACGATCAAATGTTTTAAAGAAGAAAGCTTAATGCTTACCCAAAAGGATGGAAAATTGGTCTGGCACTGCAGAGAAGACAAAGCCAAAATTTCACAGATGCGAGGAGTAGAACCTAGAGAACATTCAGTCTCAGTATACCATGTTGGGAAGGAACAGATGAGACATATTCCAAAATATTTTGAGGTATTGCTTGAAGAAGACTGTGTGTTTTGTTTCCTTACTGTCCAGAGATGTGTGGGAATCCTCAAACATGGAATCCTGTCTAACATGAAAACAAGGCATATTTTGAGGCTGAGGTTGTTTTGTTTTGTGTTTCAGGAAAGGGTAGTCTGAGAAAAGCTGTTATGCCTTCATTTTCTGGAGAGGCTTTTGACATGGAATAATACTGTACTATATGTGTACAGAAAGAACTGTACAAATGCTGGGAAAGTGTTCATTTTGTTGCAGTTTTATCCTGTAAAATAATTTTATATGTATTTTCATCGCTCAAGCAGATTTAGTTTATGGCACTCCCTGTCCCTTAAATGTTTCATCTTGCTCTGCATGGCTGTCTTTGTGTGGTGTATGGCAGTGAAACTGAAGCCATATAAAAGTGCTTCAGTAGTAAAGACAGGGATTTGTAGTACATGTAATAACTGTCTTTCCAATCCCCTTTTGTAAGATGCAGAAACATGACCCCACACTGTGGTCTTCAGTTTTTCTGGACAGCAGATGGTGCCCTAAAAGCTATACCTAAACTGTAATCCAGAGGCATTACTTTTGCTTGTGCACTGTGTGTAGCTTGGGTTTACCTCTCCTCCTTGTCAATTGACCTCTGGAGTGCACACAATCCTGTTCTTTCCCCCACTGTGTTTTCAAGGCAGGCAGAGAGGAGAGGGATGTGTTTTGGCTGAATTGAGGTCATTTAGGGACCTAGACATTCAGCGAGGTCTGAGCCATGTGTTTTAGAAATATTGAGAGAGACTAATGTTTTTGTAGCCAGGTGTTATAGTTCCACCTCAAAGAAAAAAAAAGTGCATGTGATGTTGATACACCTGACACCAGATGAGATTTACTGCTGCAGCCCTCCTCCTTTGTCCTTAGACTATCCATGAAATTATTCCAGTATAAAGATTGAATGTATGGCTGTCCTGATACGCACCTTCTGGAGCCCTGACCGCACAGGGTCAATGACTCGCTGTTGTCAATGTGCTTGGTTCTGTGTCACTTAGGAAAGTCACCTTGTCTTCCACTCATGATTCCTTCCACTCAGGCCAATGTTCTTGTTCTCACAGTGTGGCTTCCTGCTGTGGTGCATGGCTCCAAGCCCTTCCAATGGGGCAGAGTTTCTCTACCACCGGATTATCCGTCCCTTCTTCCTGAAGCATGAGGCCCAGCTGGACAGCGTTGTGCAGGACCTGAAAGACAAGGCTGCAGAGACTGCAGACACCATCACTAAAGAGGGTGAGCAAAAGGCCCTTCACGGGTCACAGCAAGCAGTGGGAATTGCACTGGGGAGCTCTTATTATTGTACTTAATATTCATCATTTGGAGGAAACAAAAATAAATTGCAAGAAGGCTATGAAAATTGTAATGGAGAAGTTAAATTTGGGAAATGGGCGTTGCAGTGGATCTTGCTTCCTAGAATTGCAGTTAGGCTAGAATTAGTGGAATAAATTGAATTGCCTTTGTGTCTTCCCACCATACACACCACTAAAAGCATTCTCTCTAGAGGCAGGTTCAGACATACCTTTCAGAAATACACTTAGTGTTTTAGTGTATCCTCATATCGCCTGAAATACTCCCTTAAATATCTGGTAGTGTAGAGGGGCTCCCAATTGTGCAGTAAACAGTTAACAGCAATACACAGCAATGTGGAAAGTGCAGTTTTCCCATGTATATATTTTTGCATTTTTCCTTCCTCTGGAGGTCAAAGGATTCCTCACTCTTAAAGGAATTACATTTTATTTTTACGTGTTATAACAGCCTATACATTGCTTAAGTTTTTATGTCCTTGCATTCTGTAATGAACCCTTGCATTCTAAAGTATCTGATGATGGTTTTATGAATAAGAGAAGGAAATGTATTAAGTAACTAAAATAAAGGTTTTTTTAAGTTTCACTTGAAAGAAATTTTATCTATATGCTATTTCAAAGCATCTTCATTCTCCATTCCACCAAACAATGAATGCAGCCTCATTTCATCTTACCAACTTTTCTGTCTGCTTAGAAGATCTGCCTTGCTCAACTATTGTTGGAAATTTTGCTGCACGATTCTTTCGGATCCTTATTGTTAGGCGTGTATCTTAATTAATGTCCTTCCATGTTGCATGTGGGATTTTCCTGTCCTCATTTCGTCACTTATTCTTTCTTTTTCCTATTTTTATGTATAAAGATTTCTACAAAAAAAGCTCAAAAAACAAACAACAAACCAAACAACAACAAAACAAACCAAAACAAACCCACCAAAACAAAACAACAGCCTTTTTTTTTAAGAAACCATGCATACACATATGTATGTACACACAAATATTAGCATTATTCCAAGCCTGTTTTATCATTACCATATATTTCTTGCTGTAAACATGTATGACCTTAACACTGAACAACCCTGTTTTAACAATACCATAGTGTTTGTACTGCTCCTTACTTATGTTTTTATGATCAGTTTTATCACTATATCAAGGTGTATAAACTGTGATTTTCTTCTGGGTTCTTTCTCTTGTGAGTAAAAGGAAATATTTTATCATGCAGTTTGAGAACATTTGATAACCCACTTTGTCAGTAGGCCTATGACTAAACTTGATTTTATTTTCCTCCAGCCAAGAAAGCAACAGTGAACTTGCTGGGTGAAGAAAAGAAGAGCACTTAAACTGGATGAGTTTCCCTACCACCTCCTTTGTGCAGCTTGGTGTTACTGGGGACTGTGGTATAAGTTGAATAATATTGGCTTGGAAACATTTTGATATATTAAAGGAATGTGCTGTAAGTGTACTTACTACTTTGCTGTGACTGATAGAGAGTATGCATTTTTGTTTAAAAGCAATGCAGTGGGCAGCATCTGAAGCTTAATGAAAATATTTTATTCATCTTCATGCAGAAGTCTTTCAGTAATCTCTTTCTGCAGTAACATAAATAAAAAAGTATATATCCCTCAGGCTCTGCACTTTAGTTGTCTCTTTGTCTATGAAATTACTCTTTAACACTTTGATTTTGGTGCATCTGGAAGCACAAAGCTATTTCATAGGGGAAATTCTGAATGGATCTTCTTGAATATACAGGGAATTATTGTGAGAGATGGCATAATGGATGTATTCCCCACCACTAAAGCTGTAAATTGTGAAATTATGTGTTCTAGGCACCTAGTTATAGAGATTATTCACTGTTGCATGTTTTATTGTAACACAGTATTTGGTACAGTGTGTGTATTCTTAAATGGATGGATACTAAATATAGGAAAGAATAACTTCCTTGGAGTGATGAAGCTTATATTGGCCTGAAGTGATTTGCTAGAAATTGATGCATTAAATCCCACAAGATTAACAGAATGTGACTGAAGTACAACTTCTTGCCTATTCTTGTTGAAACAAGTTGTTATCCAGAATTGTTCAAAGTGTGCTTTTTAAGGTCATACTCAAAAGTACAAGCCACCTTTAGCTAAGGAGTAGTACCATTACAAACACTTTTTCCTGAATTCCTTTTAAAATAGCAACTGCCTTGGATGTCAGTCTTCAGAATTACATCACTAAGGGGACAGACTACAGCTCCCACAAGCTTTTTCTGCTCATAAAGATCTGCAATCACTTCTGACTATACTAAGAACAACTTTGTATGAGCACTTAAACTTCCTGAGTGGAGAAGCTCTTGGTGTTACTTAATATATTCCTGACCAATCAGTAACAGTGCTAAGAGAATAAAGGGATTTTTTACAATCAATGTAAAAAAAATTATTTTTTCTTAGATTTGCATCTTAGATTTTTTTTTTTCTAACATTTACATCTATACTCTTTCACATTGTGGTATTTTCAACAAAAATGATTACATTAATTAATCAGGCATGAATTACTGAAATTCCCATGTTTTCATCTCCATGCTGACATTTCTTGAAAGCCTAGAGTAATGGTGTGGCAGTTCTGAGCTCACAGAACATGCAGAAAGGAAGCTTAAGCTTCTGATAGGATAAAAATTATTTTCAGTACACAATCTTGAATTCTAAAGACTTAAAGTTTTGAGGACTTCTGGCTTTCTGCAACAAATTGTTGTATAAACATTCATTGTAATTTTACAGATGCAAGAACTGCAAAAGAGTGAAGCACACAGTGCAACTCAGCAGGTCAGTTTTAACCTGGAGAGATATGTTTAATAAAAGGGGACATAGAAGTGTCATAAGAGAAAGCATTTTAAGCATTGAGCTGGAAAACATAGGCCTTGGGGCTGGCAGCTTGGATAGGGAAATACAAAACCTGCTGTACCTCATGTTCTGTAGGACAGCATGCAGTTTGTCATTTGAAGAAAAAATGAAAGATTTCTTAGTTAATCATTCCTTGACAACTTCTTGTTAGAAGGGGATATGCTGAAGAGGATAAAGTTTACAGCAAACTTCTAGGTTTTAAGCATGTAAAAAGTTTGAAGAGTATCACCATTTAACTGGTTTAATTTCTTGTCTTAACTTCTTCTGTCGTAAACCCACTGGACTTTCTGGTAAGCCTTACTAAACCTTAGTTCTGTGTTTTAAACTCTATCAGCTCTATGTAAAGCATTTATGTGGCCGTTGTAATTTAGTTTCACTTCGTGAGATTCGAAGTAACTAGATGAAAATAAATGAGGATTCTTATTAGACTACTTGATTTCAGTGCAAAGTACTACATAACTTACTTATCTAAAAGCTTACAGTAAATTTTAGATTTTTCAAGCATAATGATGTCTGTAGTAGAGACAGGATTTACTTTTCAGTTCTTATACTACTAAACAGTTCTTCCACTGTTATTAATGGGGATAAAACATTCTAGGTACATGTTAGGTAAGTGTTGAAACAGTCCCTTGCATCTCTCTCAGAACTTGAAAGGCTTTAAATCAACTTCTTGTCTTTACCAACTTGATATTATCAGCACATACAATCAGTGCCCTTTTGTCAGATTTCTACTTGAATTAGAACTATAGTCTGTTGTTAACAGAAGTTGCCCTTGTTTTTTTTTTGCCTTGATGCAAGTAGAAATGACTGAATTTCTGCAGCAAGTTATCCTTTCCTGGGAGTAACTCCACTGGGCTGGCCCCGCAGATCAGTGCTTTGCTTTGTGTCTTCACAACATTCATGTGCAAATGTTGGTGCACACATCCGCTCCATGTCTTTGCTGAAGCTGTAATGTGCTAAATAAAAATGGACACAAATAAAGAGATTCTTATGGGACTGGTATGATGCCTCAGTATTTCTTAAGAACCTTATACCCCAAAGATGAAAATCTGGCTACTTTAGGAAGTCAGGTCTTTACAGGGTATTCACTTTTTTTTCCCCCTCCCTGGAGTTCATTACTGTGGAACCAATAGAAACCTTTTAAACTACAAAGGAAGTGTCTCTGCCTCATGCCAGTCTGAGAGTGCAGCCAAGCAGAATTAGAGCATCGGGCCCTCACATGAGTTTGGAATGCAGAACTCTTCTGTACAGTGAGCACCACAAGCATCTTTCTAGACTTCATAGCCTGGCTTACCTGGGAATCATCAAGGTTTAGGATTCTCTAGAAACAGAGAGGAAAGACTGTAAACTAGAGGGATTTTGAAGTTTTTCCTCTCCCATGGGTTTCCTGGTGTTCCATAAATGACCTCAACAAACAATGCTGAATACTTACTGTGATGTTGCACTTACCTAAGACTGGTGTTACCACTCTTTATAGGACATTTCATCTGCTTTATCTGACTCCTTTCCAAACTCAGCAAAAAAGGAAAATAAGCTCAGGAAAACATAACATCCCCCAATGATAACATCACCACTAGTGAGAAAATAATGAAAACTCTCCAAACCAGAGCAAGGCAATTAACAAACCATAGAAATTCTTATAAGTAGTGGAAGGTGTGACTAGTATTTGTCAGGTCAAACCCTCACTACATTTAATTTGACAAGTAAAAGGAAGTTTCTTGAGTTTGCGTTTCATTCTTGCCAACTCTTCTAAATAATGTGAGAATCAACTAAAATTTTTATTACTAATTCATTAGTCATCTTCCACCCCCATTTCATATTCCACAAACAATAGTTTCCTTATGCAAAGGAGGAAGCATGGAGTTTTAAAAAACAAAACCACAAATCCTTGAAGGTCATGAGAGATTCTCATTTTCTGTAAAGGGCACCTGACAAATATGATGAATGTCTTGTCTTCTAGAGAACTTCTACATCCAGTGTGATGGAATGAAACTGTTCTTGAGGAATGACAACCCAGGGCTTCTAAGTCCTCAGTTGTGCAACCACATTGTTACAGCCTTTTGAAAATTTCATTTCCTACCAGTACTGAAACCATTAAGAGATTCTGTAGCAAAAGATCTTCAGATGACCACATGAACTCATGAACTAGTCAAGTAAAAATCATTGAAGATGAACTTTGAATTTAGCATACTTTGGAATGCAATTTAGTTTACACCTTTGCTGAGGCTATGAAATTCCAAAAAACTGTATATTTTGTATTAGTGGATCTTTGTAGGAGAAGAATACTTGAAGATTTCTTATATATGTCTAAGTTCTGCTACTTTAGAAGCAAACAGACAAAACCCAAAAAACAGACAAAACCCAAAAACCTCAAAGAACCCCCAAACCTTGACAGATGAAAAGAGGCACACATGCTGTTTCATGTAGCACAGCAGTTCAGCCTACTCAGTTCTACCTGCAGTGTCCTCTGCTCTTTCCCAGATCCCAAACTACCAAAGACTTGGCTGTTTCTTTCCATCTCCCTTACACAGCCACTATGGCAAGGGGTACTCAATTATTAATTAATATTATTATTATATAATAAAGCAAATTATTTAATAATAATAATAATAGATTATATTTTTATTTAGGGGAAAAAATCCTTTTGAAAAGGGTATCCCTTATCCTAAGAGAGAAAATAACCCCACAAAGGCCAGTCTGTAACAGGAAGAATGTAAATAACTGGTGTCCAGTGGGAATTGTTCAAAGCTGTGGCAGGGGATGTTCAGAGTTGACACTGGGAAGCATTTCTTTACCAGGAGGGTGCTCAGACCTTGGAACAGGCTTCCTAGAGAGAGTGGTCAATGCCCCAAACCTGTCAGTGTTGAGGCATTGGGACAATTACCTTAATAATGTGCTTTAACTATTGATCAGCTCTGAAGTGATCAGGCAGTTGGTTTGGATGATCAATTTAGGTCCCTTCCCTTCCTGAAATAGTATGTCCCATTCCATTCCATTCCATTCCATTCCATTCCATTCCATTCCATTCCACCGCATGTGCAGCTCCAGAGAATCAATCCAGGGAGCCACCATCTCTCATGTAGAACACACACAAATATCCCACAGGTATATGTGCCCCAAAAGGGAGTTCTGGCGGCAAGTTTCTTTTAAACACACACAAGGAACAGGATGTACACACAGGCAAGTGTCTTTTTTGAGACCAGCTGCTTTTTGCAGTGCTTCATGGCTGAAGGCTAACAACTACATATGGTCACATATTATTGTCACTTCCCAACTTAAAACATATTTCAAAATAACATTTTAAAGCTCCCTCTCTTTAATTACTCAATTAAGAATTGAGTAATTATGGTTGTGCTTCTGTATAGCTACGTGCTATGTATCTGAAAGAATAAACCACCTATATCACAACAGTACTGAATTCTCATTTTTAATCATTCTGTTATTGATTGTCTGTATCATCACACCCCCCTGATGCCCAATGTCAGCGTTACCATCCATTCCTGACACAGAAATTGTTTTAAGGATTGTTATAAGGATTTTGAGCTCATATGTCCATTTAAAATGTTTAATTTTTGCTCAGGTACTTAGAAAACCGTACAGGGAAATAACAGACATGTACTTTTAGAGAGCTGGACCACGACCCAGGTTCATTATCCATATTCCTTCTGTCCTGGATGCTGAGTAAATTCCCACGCATGGATTCATGCCTTCCTTTGTTACTGTTGCCACATACAGGAAATCTCAGA